CTGCAGGAGTCCGTCAGTGTGCGCCACACACGACTTTCCCCTCTCCCCCCACCCTCAACTCCGCACGACACATTCGTTTTTTAAACAAATGGGATGGGTAGCTCGGATCTCGCAGAAGGATATACACACACTGCGGCCAGCTGAGTGAGAAAGGGACAAATGTCCGCTATCTGCAGCGCCTACTTATGGCAACTGCAACTTCACTGAATTCAGGAGCTGGTCTAGGTCAAGCCAAAGTCCCGTGACAACAGCCAATATTCTGGTGAACGCTTCCATACATTGACAGCATCCCTGAAGCAGTTCCTCGCCTCCTGAGACTGTTAGAGCTTGACATAGCCCATAATTATCTGATCATGAGTTTTATGGCTGCCCTGCCACGAGATGAAACAAAAACGTCGTCTACCGGATCCAAAGAGGTCGGCAAATGATTACGAATCCGTGCTAGATAACACACCAAAACTGTGAAGAGGATAGACCCATTGTCTCTGGTGGTGGAACGTTGCATGGGCTCAGGCACGCCTTCGTTTTGCAGAACAACGAAATCGTGGGTCGAGGGAATGTTCGTATAGCCAGAGGAATAATTGAGGCCTGCGACCCAGGAAAAACCACTATCCACTACTGGATGACTGTTCCTACAGCCTACCAAATCATTAAGATGAAACTCAATAAACGGAAGAACAAGTGCTAACCTAGGCCAAATGGGAATCAAGACAGGGGAGCACCTGGGCTTGGATTATAACGGGCTGATGACGGCTAATAAGCCAGAAATGGCCATTCCAGTCTCCAACGTCTTTTTCGGCAATGTTATCTGTCTAAACTACTAGCCGTCGTGCGGCTGCTTGTGGGGCTCGAGAGTGAGCACCAAGGCAGAACACGAAAAATGAGTTCCGTTAGGCATCGGTCAAGGTTTACCAACGAGGGAACCTACACTTGGATACACACGTGGCCGCACCACAGCTCGGACCCAACGAAGGCGTCACTAACCCGGCAGATGAGTTAAAATGCAGCTAGGGGGACGCAAACAAAATTAGTGGCTTACAGATAATACAAATGCGGGCGACGGACCCGAGCGCCCAAACGCCGCCCCCTGGCGAGAGGCT